ATGTGATGGTGTTTCGTTGACTTGGACAGAACAGCACTGCTGCAGGCTGGTGACTGCACAAGGAGATTTGATGGTGTTTCGTTGACTTGGACTGAACAGCACTGCTGCAGGCTGGTGACTGCACAAGGAGATTTGATGGTGTTTCGTTGACTTGGACAGAACAGCACTGCTGCAGGCTGGTGACTGCACAAGGAGATTTGATGGTGTTTCGTTGACTTGGACTGAATAGGTTTGATGTGACTCTATCGGTGAGGAATTCAAAGGTAGCTTTTTAACTTACTGGCTGTTTGAATGCAATAAATATGATTCCCGCCGTTGTCACGTGACATGGTACACATGTGTTGATGACGAAATCTGATTAAAGTTGTATTTTATTTCTGAAGAACGTTTATAGCAAATTGGTAGAAACACAAGATGGACATTTGAAGGAACGTCAACTGGGGGGGACGGACTAGCACGACCTCGTGGTGAGATTAAGTCATTGAATATTGATGATTAGGCTTATCTGACTGACGTCATTTTGGAAGTGTGACGTCATCGAGCTATGGACGACATTGAGAAGCGAGTCTTGAGTCAGCTGAGATCCAGACTCATCAAGGAAGTGGTCGTTACAGAGAGCTTCCTGTGCGCCTTCTGTGACAACAATGTCATGGATGACCAGATGGCACGTCTTCTAAAGGTAAACGGAAACTTTCATTCTCATTCATACGATTCACACGATACCAACACAGACATACTATACAAACATATGATACCAAGACAGGCATACTAAACAAACAAACGATACCAACACAGGCATACTATACAAACATATGATACCAACACTGACATACTAAACAAAAAAAACGATACCAACACAGGCATACTATACAAACATATGATACCAACGCTGACATACTATACAAACATATGATACCAACACTGATATAATATATAAACATATGATACCAACACAGACATACTATAAAAACATATGATACCAAGATAGGCATACTATACAAACATATGATACCAACACAGGTACTCTACACAAACATATGATACCAACACAGACATACTATACAAACATATGATACCAACCCAGACATACTATACAAACATGATACCAACACATACATACTATACAAACATGATACCAACACAGGCATACTGTAAAAACATATGATACCAACACAGGCATACTATACAAACATATGACACCAACACAGACATCCAATACCCAGACACGATACAAAAACACACGTACCATACATTACATACACCACGCACGTACTTAATAAAAAATACACAGGCATATGAAGAATTGGGGGGGGGGGAGGGGGGGGGAGAATCCCACCTGGGATTGTACAGGGGGGACACCACGCACGTACTTAATAAAAAATACACAGGCATATGAAGAATTGGGGGGGGGGGGAGGGGGGGGGAGAATACCAACTTGGATTGTACAGGTGGGTGGAGACTTCCCATAGGACAGGTACGACGACCAAACACTGACCGCCAAGCCTGTTGTATCCGATTGCACTAGAACGAAGTTAGTAGACCTATGACGGTGAGAGAGTGTGCTTGTATATCAAGAGACATTGGCATGCTGGGGCTGGTGGTTAGTTAATGAACAATGTCTGCAAGAATGGCTGGGCAATGAGAAATACCCCTGTAGACAGGAGGCACAGAAATACCCATGTAGACAGGAGGGAAGTGTGAAGTTAACCATAGTACCAAGGAGGAGAACCAGTTTGTAGAATAGATGCGGAAATAAATAGTCCTGCTACATGCGAATATAGATAGACCTGGGAAAGAATCTTTAGGGATGCAACGACTGATTTGGGGACTTATACAAGGGGACCATTAGTTCAGTCGGACCGCAGTAGTGTACAGACCAAGGGGAGAACTCAGCCGGACCGCAGTAGTGTACAGACCAAGGGGAGATCTCAGTCGGGGAGTAGAGACGGTAGCTGACTTGGACAGTTGAGAGAAGAGCTATGACAGTCAGAGTTGAAAACGTGCCGGGACAGTAGAGTTGACTTCTTGTACACAGAGAATAATATCATTGATGTTTTTTGCAAAGAAAATAATATCATTGATGTTTTGTACAATGAAAAAGAAGTACATTCATGTTTTGTACACATATAATAATATTATTGATGTTTGTAGACAGAGACAAATATCATTGATGTTTTGTAAACAGAGATTAATATTATTAATGTTTTGTACACAGAGACTAATCTCATTGATATTTTGTAGACATAGACTAATATCATTAATATTTTGTACACATAGACTAATACCATTGATGTTTGTACACATATACTAATATCATTGATGTTTTGTAAACGGAGACTAAAATCATTGATGTTTTGCAGACTGAGACTAATATCATTGATATTTTGTAGACTGAGACTAATATCATTGATCTTTTGTAGACAGAGACTAATATCATTGATATGTTATAGACTGAGACTAATATCATTTATGTTTTGTAGACAGAGACTAATATCATTGATGTTTTGTAGACAGACTAATATCATTGATGTTTTGTAGACAGAGACTAATATCATTGATTTTTGTAGACTGAGACTAATATCATTGATATTTTGTAGACAGAGACTAATATCATTGATATTTTGTACACAGATACTAATATCATTGATACTTTGTAGACAGAGACTAATATCATTGATGTTTTGTACACAGAGACTAATATCATTGATCTTTTGTAGACAGAGACTGATAGCATTGATGTTTTGTACTCAGAGACTAATATCTTTGATATTTTGTACACAGAGACTAAGAGACTAATCGCATTGATATTTTGTAGACAGAGACTAATCTCATTGATATTTTGTAGACAGAGACAAACTATGAGAGTCGAGCATCCAAACTGCTGGACATGTTGCCCAGCAGGGGGTCAAGGGCATTCCTGACACTGATGGAAATTCTGGAGATGACCAATCCATGGCTGGCAGACAAAATGAGGGCTGCCTTACATGATGAGAGGAACAAAGATGCAAAGATCAACCTTCATCCCAGTGTATCGCAGAATGGTGGGCAATGGCTGCGTGTGTCCTTGTATGGTTGCGTGGGTCTATGTGTGCCCATGTCTTAGTGTGTCTATGTGTGTCCATGTCTTATTGTGTCTATGTGAGACAAGATGAGAGCTTCCCTACACGATGAGATGATCAACCTAGATCCATGTGTATCACATAATGGTGGGTCGTCTCCGTGTGTGTCCATTTCCGTGAGAGTTTATGTGTGACTGATTGTGTCAATGTATGTATGTATCGATGTATGTGTGTGTCCAGCTGTGTGTGTGTCAATGTCCGGATGTGTATATGTCAGTCCATGTTTGTGTCCATATTTGTGTGTGTCCATGAATGTGAGTGTCCATGTACGACTGTGTCCATGTATGTATATGTTTTACGAACCGGTTCTGACCATGTTCGTTATATTCGCTTTCCTAGATGTTATTATAGTAACTACACAAAGTAAAGCCTCGTAGAATAAAGTATCTTTATTAATCAAACTACAGAGTCAACGGCCATGACTCCATCACAACAAACTTCACCACAACACGTCATTTCCATTACCACAAATACGTCACAAATTAATAAGCATAATAGATAATCCAACATCTACTTTCTAAACAACATGCAATCAACAATATACATTGAAAGCCTTAACACACGTGTTATATTGCTTTCTTGTGTGTCCTGTTGTTTATGTTCCACATATGATCTACCGACTACTACAGTTCAATCCTTAAAATATAAATGGCCCATACTACAGTAAAATTTTTAAAATATAACCAAACCCTACTACAGTACAACATACTTAAAATATTCAATATTACAATAAATGTTAAGTTATAACTCTTGTATAGTTATGTAACAATCATTTGTTTAGTGTAACTCAACTAAACTACAACACATTTTTTCCATAACCGTTGTTATCTAATATGAACATTGTTTTGTGACTTCAACCATTTCTACTCACTCTTTTAGAAATCTTGTATCGAGAGCATGTGTCTTGCTTTAGTGTCCAGTGAAGGTGTTTCCCAGACATTAGGACTCCATATTAGCACAGACACGGAGGGGCGGGCCTACACGTTCATTGGTTAGACACAATCTCATGAGTCTATTTTATATTTTAGCTTCTATTGAAGGCGTGTCTCAGACACTGCGACTCCATATTGACACAGACATCAAGGAGAGAGCCACCAGGTTCATCAAGACTAACCTCCACCACATGTCTGACATAGAGCAGAGAGGTGTGGAGAAGTGGCTGGCTGATGAGTTGCAGAGAGAAAGAAGGCGACAGCAATTCAGGGCACCACACAAGTAAGGAGAGTGGACATCTAGGGCGAACATAATCAATATCTTTACGATGTAGGTCATTAGACTCTTTAGGATACTTAAACTACTTTTTTAAACAGAAACTGTTGGCAACAATAACTGTATGTAAATAGACTATTTAGCAAACTTAGACTACTTCTTAAACCAGAAGCATGTAGGAACAATGATTATTGGTCATTAGACTATAAAGGGCACACTTTGACTACTTCTTAACCCAGAAACTTACCGGAGAATTGGCTGTATATCCTACCAGAGGCTCAGGCCGAGTCAACTGACTCAGATAGTTGTGTACTTTTAGTCCACCATTAATAAGCCAAACATGATTTTAAAGACTAAAATGACAGCCATTTATGTCAAGTGAGAAAAGGTACACTTGAACATAACGTCACAAGGCTGGGTTTTTTTTTTTTGGCTTTTTTTTTTACACATTAAATACGTCATGTGTATCATATATTTCATGACTTCCATGTATGTGCACTTGACACAACAGATACGCCATATGTCATTCATTATACATATTCTAGTATTGAATATATCATATTATATGACATGGCTTCCATGTATGTCAACTTGACATTCATCCCCCAAGCATGCCACGTAACCATGGTGATTTCCACGCCTCCAAAGAAGTACAAACAGACACAAGTAACATGGACCTAGTGGAGCTCTATGAAGAAATGAGCATTTACCTTCATGGCGTCGACTATGTCCAGATGACAGTAGATTTCAGCTTTAAGAAACTCAGTCAAAAGGTAAGCACCTCAAAATAGGACACAATCTGAATGATTTATTTGTCTGATTACATAGAGTAAATGTCATAGATGATAGAAGTAAACTGGTAAGATTATCTGAGAAAAGGTAAGAAAATATTATATAAGATTCCTTCAATGTAAGATACGATTATTGGAGGATTCCTTCATTGTAAAATAAGATTATATAAGATTCCTTCATTGAAAGGTACTATTATATACGTTTTTTTCCATATAAGATAAGATTATATACGATTCCTTCATTTTAAGATAAGATTATATAAGATTTTCTTCGAAGTAATATAAAATCCATTCATTGATCACAACAAATAAAATTAAGTTGTTTTTACACTAGACAGAATTATTTTCAGCATATTGACATAAACACAGACATTGACAACATTCTGATTAACTGAACTAGTTCAATGTAAAGAGAGACGCAGTGGATTTTTCAAACACAACGTAAAAGCCTGCAGGCCCCGTCCAGCTAGTCTGTATAGCCTCATTGTGACTTAGTACAAGTACTCTATTGTCTAGCCATTGACGAAGCGGCGACAGAGTCAGACTGTTTGAGGATTGTAATGCATCTAAAAAAAAACGTTCCATTATTGAGAACTATTGGTCAAACAAGTAGCTGATCTGATACGGTCGATTTCAGCTTTTAAAGCGGTTCATACGCCAGGCAGAAGTTAACTTTTCAGCTATTGACACATACGCATCAAATAGAATGTGCCAGTACGTTATCACAAGATGCCTTTCAATAGTGATCACGTTTACTAAACCTTATGAAAGGTATACAAAGAAAAGTACAGCAAGAATCATGTCTAGTGGTGGTTTAGGAAAAAGGATTGGGGTGGGGGGGGGGTGGGGGGGGGAGGAGACACACTAGCTATGCAACATGTTTTAAATCCATCCTGATAATCGAGTTAACCGGATTTTCGGATCCCTTCATGAACCTGGTATCTTCAGTTCCGTCAATGTGCTGTCAATATGGAGGACATAGGTCATCAATTATGTGTGAAAGTTACTGCCATACAACAGCCTATAAACGTGTTATCTTTTAAAGTCATGTACATTGATGCATGTTTGTTATGTTGTAAGTCATGCTTAGAAATGCGTGTTTGTTAAGTTGTACGTCATGCTTAGAGATGTGTGTATGGTTGTTTTAAGTCATGGTCAGAGTAGCGAATGCATTCATTTTAAATCATGTTGCTATCTGCGCACGACAGAAAAAAAAAAAAAACGGATTAGGCCATCCAAATGTTTTTACGCTCCAGATTTTCGAATTCCTCTGCGATCTTTTGGATAGTACACGTTAGTAGTAGTCAATAATATGGCACTACAGCTTCTACGATTTCACCCAATAAGACGAACTCCAGACTCCAGTTTTTTTAAAAAACTGATTTCTATTTCTTTGTTGTTTCTCGTTTTGTCTTGTGAGACCAAAAACGTCCCCCTGATATTGTCCTGCCTCTTCATTTCAAAATGCGACAGACCTCACTCCAGTATTTCCTGTTTAGAAACAATAACGCTAATACTCTTTTCCCCGTTTTTCTTGACATAACTGACTTACTTCCCTTCAGACCTCTTGAGTTCAAACACTTACTTTTAGCAGTGTTGCTGAATTTAACCTCCTGATATAAGTATTTAACCCCCTAATATAAGGCTATAACCCCCTGATATAAGTATTTAACGCCCTAATATAAGGCTATAACCCCCTGATATAAGTATTTAACCCCCTAATATAAGGCTATAACCCCCTGATATAAGTATTTAACGCCCTAATATAAGGCTATAACCCCCTGATAAAAGTATATAACCCCCTGATATAAGGCTATAACCCCCTGATTTAAGGCTATAACCCCCTGATATAAGGCTATAACCCCCTGATATAAGTATTTAACCCCCTAATATAAGGCTATAACCCCCTGATAAAAGTATATAACCCCCTGATATAAGGCTATAACCCCCTGATTTAAGGCTATAACCCCCTGATATAAGGCTATAGCCCCCTGATATAAGTCTATAACCCCCTGATATTAGGCTATAACACACTGATATGACGCTATAACCCCCTGATATAAGGTTATAACCCCCTTATCGAAGGATATAATCTCCGGGATATAACTGACTTAATAGTGCACCATGTATGACTCCTATATCAGGTGACCGAACTTCTGACGAGGACTAGGAAGCTTGATGCCTTATTTCTCAACTGTCTTGACAAGTTTGATGACCCAGACAAATACGCCATCCCCTTGCCGGACCTGATAGACCGGATGCTTACGAAAGAGAGGAGTCAGAGCCACATCAATAATGCGGACAAGAAGGTCAGATATCCCGTGACTCGCGTATAGCCTAGAGAAACTCAAAAATACAACTTGTTCCTAGAGATTGTTTTTGAAAAACTCATCCAATGAACTATTTGTATTCGTTTCCTTACATAACACATAAAGATAGTGCTATTTGTCTCTGTAAAGCTGGTACAGAAGCTGTCTGAGGAGAGAGATCTCGCCAAGCGGCAGGTGAGGAGACTGGAAGACGAACTGGATAAAGTTCTACAGAGGCAGAGCCCAACACAAAAACCACAGGAGATCCAGTTGAGGAACAGGCAAAACATCAACGTCAGGTGGGTGTGGCCTCACGGGAGAGGTGGGTGGGGCTTGATGGGAGGGGTGGGTGGGGCTTTATGACATAGGTGAGTGTTGCTTTATGGTTCAGATGGGTGTGGCTTTGTGAGATAGGTGAGTGTTGCTTTATGGTACAGATGGGTGTGGCTTTATGAGATAGGTGAGTGTAGCTTTATGAGAAAGATGACAGTGACTTCATAAGGTAGGTGAGGGTTGCTTTATGGTACAGATGGGTGTGGCTTTATGAGAAAGATGACAGTGACCTCATAAGGTAGGTGAGTGTAGCTTTATGAGAAAGATGACAGTGACTTCATAAGGTAGGTGAGGGTTGCTTTTTGTTTTAGATCGATGGATGTTGCTATAGTTAATTGTCTTTTAATGAAAGTTGTTAAGAGGGTTGTGTGTTAATTTAATGGTGTTGTGGATGTTGTTATGATGATTGGGTGTAGCTTAATTTAATGGTGCTGTGGATGTTGTTATGATGATTGGATGTAGCTTAATTTAATGGTGCTGTGGATGTTGTTATGATGATTGGGTGTATGTTAATTAAATGGAGTTGTGGATTGTTAAGATGGGTGGGTGTAGCTTAATTTAATGGTGCTGTGGATGTTGTTATGATGATTGGGTGTAGCTTAATTTAATGGTGCTGTGGATGTTGTTATGATGATTGGGTGTAGCTTAATTTAATGGTGCTGTGGATGTTGTTATGATGATTGGGTGTAGCTTAATTTAATGGAGCTGTGGATGTTGTTATGATGATTGGGTGTATGTTAATTAAATGGAGTTGTGGATTGTTAAGATGGGTGGGTGTAGCTTAATTTAATGGTGCTGTGGATGTTGTTATGATGATTGGGTGTATGTTAATTAAATGGTGTTGTGGATTTTGTTATGATGATTGGATGTTGCTATATTTGAGGGTGTTGTGAATGTTGTTATGATGATTGGGTGTAGCTTAATTTAATGGTGTTGTGGATTTTGTTATGATGATTGGGTGTTGCTATATGTGATGGTGTTGTGAATGTTGTTATGATGACTGGGTTTAGTTTAACTTAATGGTGTTGTGGATGTTATTATGATGATTGAGTGTAGCTCAATTTAATGGTGATGTGGATGTTGTTATGATGATTGGGTGTAGCTTAACTTAATGGTGTTGTGGATGTTGTTATGATGATTCGGTGAAGCTTAATTTAATGGTGTTGTGGATTGTTTTATGATAATTGGGTGCAGCTTAATTTAATGGTGTTGTTGATTGTTTTATGATGATTGGGTGTAGCTTAATTTAATGATGTTGTGGATGCTGTTAAGATGGTTGGGTGTAGCTTAATTTAATGGTGTTGTGGATGTTTTTTGATCAATTATTATATTTTTTTATATATGTTGTTGTGATTGTTGTTATGATAATTGGATATGGCTTCATATATAATAAGTGGGTGTGACTATATGGGTAAGGATTGCAGTGTATTTGCTATGGTGTGATTTTAAGATTAAGTTTTGCACGGCACTTGCTAAGTGTGATTTAATGGATAGGGTTTGCATTGTATTTGGTGGCTTGCTTGGTGTGATAGTTACATTTAGAAACGAACTAATTGGAATTGTATAACTCCTTGGGTGTTGGAAAGGGGGGAGGGGGAGGGGGTGTTCGTTCGTTTTTGTGTGACACGTATGGATGCATTCTGCTTATGACAAAAAAATCATTTCTTCTTTGTTGTATGTTGGTACACTGCTCATCCAGTTATCTTTTGCTCTGGCCTGCATGCAGGTATTCGCTGCTACTCCCCGACCACGCACACCACTCTGATCTAACCCAGCCAGGTGCAGGACCTTTTACTGTCACCACATTAAACCCAGCCAACAGCGTGGACAACGGTTCCAATCCCCATCAGAGCAGTAGCCAACCAGACAGCCATAAGAACAGTGGTCCCCCCTTGGTCAACTACGGTATGGGTTCTCAAGTTGTAGCTCCGGACCCAAGATTAGTAGTAAAAAATAACGACACCGATGGCCGGCCCCCTGACGCTGGTGGTATGGCCAACACGAGCGTTGATGCTAAAAAGACATCAAGCCAGTATTCCATTAATCCTACCGATAGCAAGACAAACTACGTCCTTCACTATCCCACCGATAGCAAGACAAACTACGTCCTTCACTATCCCACCGATAGCAAGACAAACTACGTCCTTCACTATCCCACCGATAGCAAGACAAACTACGTCCTTCACTCAGCGTCCAGTTTTCACGCAGCGCTTCCTCAGGGGAAACTACGGCGCCACGCCAGTGAGGAGAGCCTTAAGGTCGCCATAAGTAAGGAAGAGGCGGAGACCTCAAGTCTGACCTACCTGAACCATGCCATGAACCAGGGTCAGAGAACAACCCAGAACGCCACCGTTGAAGGCAACCCTCCCCATCAAAACAACATCACGAAGCAGCCGCCCTCAACCAGGGTTGATGTACAGAATAAAATGCTAAGAATGTTGACAAGTGCAAGCAAGACCAACCAGAAAGTTCGAAGGTCAGAATCTGAACGGGCTGTAGGAAGTCATGGTCCCCGGGTTGACAGGCCATGGAAGAACGCTGAAGCTGATTCTATTTTTAAGGGCAACACCAGCCTTCGAGCCAGCTATGAAAATATCGTATCAGCCGTCAAGAAGGGTGAGCAACTACTTGATGGTTCCAGCCCACCGAACAGCAACACCAATTCATTTCAATATCAGCACAACGAAGAACCTCCTCACAACCCATACAGGATTATTTTCCAACAGCCGGCCAGTCACAAACCACCAGGTCGCCAAGCTGGATCTCACCAGAGCAGGCAGGAGCACTACCAGCTTCAGAAACAACGTCAGGCTAGCAGCCTTGTCTACGAGGATCCGGTCCAAGAGCAGAGTCTCCACACAAAACAAGCCAGCACGACACAGAAAACGACTTTGATCTATCCCCGGGATCCCAGTTTACCCCAAAGCAAGACGGAAGAATGGCAGCCTGCTGTAGGACATGCCAGGACCAGCAGTAGAGATAGAGACAGCGGCCTCACTTCACACACGACCAGCTTTCTACCTCGACCACCAAGTCGTGGAAACCCAAGCGCGGTACTAGATTATACGTCGGATTCAGAAATGGTGATCAATTCAGGGACGAGAACTGCCAGTCCAGGTAGAACGAAAGCACGAGTAAGGTTTGCCTCCCCTGTATCCAGGTCCTCCAAACCAAACAAGAAGGCTCACGGGAGGGGGATTCTGGCCAACTACCAGAACGATACAGCCAGTGCTACCAATAAGAGAATCAAAAAACGAATATGAGAATCTTGTAGCCGAAAAAATAACATATATGTCTGCATAAAAGAAAGTATTTATTTAGTATAGTAACATATTGTAAATATAAAAGTACTATTTTTTTTACAACAGTTATATGATGTACATATTATATTTATGAACACTATCGATAACAAAAAATGTACAACAAATAATGCTTAGATGTTTGTAAATATTTTGTGCCAGTAACATGTAGGCAAAACCGAAGTGGCAGCAAGGGATGCCTCGAATATTTTAGGGCCCCAAAGATGTAGAGTGTGAAGTTATATGTTCCTTGGTCCATACGGGATGGCATTTACATGACACCCATGGAGGGCTTTGTGTGGGTGATTTAGTATATAAAGCTATATGTTCCTAGATTAATACAGGATGACATTTACATGACATTGGGGCTTTGATCAAATTTGGATGAAACAAATTATAAATAATATGTGAATAAATAAAGCGTTAGTTCATCAATAAATGATATGTTTAGAATTTTGACGGAGAGAAAGCTAACATATGTATTTAATGTTTGCATGTAAAAAGAAATAAAGTGGTATATTTGCAAACCGTCTTCACTTACTCATACTATTATACTAAAGTAATATGTGGTTGCTGTTTTGGCTTGACCATATCATAGTATCACTACATTTGGTCATACAATAGCGTTACTAGTTTGCCATTAGCACATCATTACTACACTTGCCCATACCATAGGTTTACTACAATTGCCAATTGCCCCGACGTGGTTTACTATACTTGGCCACACAAAACTAGTATTAACCTTGCCTACACCATAGCATTACTACACTTGTCAATAACTTATAGTATTACTTCACTTGTTGATACCATATATAGTATAACTAGGCTTGCCCATACCATAGTATTACGAAAAAATTATTTGGAGCACAGCCCTCAAGCCGCAAGCCATTACTTAAAAAAGATGGAACTTAGCTACCGACAGACAAGGGGAACTTAGCTACCGACATACAAGGGGAACTTAGCTACCGACATACAAGGGGAACTTAGCTACCGACAGACGAGGGGAACTTAGCTACCGATAGACAGGAGTAACTTAGCTACCGACAGACAAGGGGAGGGAACTTAGCTACCGACAGACGAGGGGAACTTAGCTACCGATAGACAAGGGGAACTTAGCTACTGATGGACATGGGTACTTAGCTACCGAGAGACAAGATTCAAATTTTTAGAAAGATGAGCCCAACACTTTTGTCCAGTCGTTAAATTTCCGGCTGCTAAAAACTCTTGAACAATTATTGCTCGTTTTCCATAGTAGGAGATCAACCAAGAGCTAGACCATAGTCCCAAAGAAGATAAAATAGAGAGGGTCATTCAGCAACTTTCCTAACATAAAGTCCCTGTTGAAATCTACAAGGCAGGAGACTGCGTCCTGACAAATAGACTGACACAGATATGTGAGTCAATATGGTAAGATGGAAAGATGGTACTGTCCCTCATCAATATAGGATGCAAATAGCATACGTATATATACGAGAAAGGGCAGTGCCCATAACAGTGACAACTATAGAGGCGCTTCTCTCCTTTCCATAGCTGGGAAGATTTTTGCCAGACTTCTACTTAATCGTTTCCAACTACACCTTAAATAGGGACTACTCCCTGAAAGCCAATGTGGGTTCCGTACAGAACAGTGCTCAGCTGGCATTATATTTGCAGCCCATCAGCTCCAGGAGAAATGTCAAGAGCAACACAGCGCCCTGTTCATCCCTTTTGTTGATCTGACTAAAGTATTTGACTCAGTCGAGATGGCCCGTGGAAAGAAATCAAGAACTTTGGCTGTCCGAAAATTGTATTGCAATAGTGCGTCTACTCCATGATGGTATGATGATGGCCAGGGTGATGGGTTCTGGGCATGAGTCTGTCAAGCCTGTGTTCTAGACCCAACACTTTTTTCAATGGTATTCTCGGCAAAGCTGACTAATGCTTTTCTTGACAATAATGACGGCATTCCTATAAGATATAGGACAGACAGAGGGCTATCTACCCTTAGCAGACTGCAAACTATTATGACACTTAAGGAAATGGTTATTCAAGACCTCTTGTTTGCTGATGACTGTGCCCTAAGTGCAGCTCGGAAATGAAAATGCAGCAAATAGTTGATCGTTTTGCTAAAGCCTGCGACAACTATGGCCTCGCCATCATTAGGAAAAAACAGAGATCTCGCATCAACCAGCTCCTGGAAGATCTTACAAAAATCTAAAATATCAGTGACGTAAAAAGAGATGATGAGGTCAATAATGTCCAAAGTAAATGTTGCATTTGGAGGGCTCCACGTGAGTGTTTGGGTGCGAAGGGGTCTCAGTATTGTCACTCATCTGAAAGTATACAGGGCAATCGTATTTGATTCTGTCCGACATGCTAGCAGGACGTGGACAGTGTACAGCAGACATGCCAGACAGCAAAACCATCTCCATCTACACTGTCTACGTAACCTTCTCGGCTGAAGGTGACAGGATAGATGGCCCTGACGCAGAGGTCCTACAAAGGGCTGACTTTATCGGCATTCACATGATCCTACAAAAGAATAAGCCAGATGGTCTAGGCAAGATGCAAAATGCCAGACAGCAGACTTCCCAAACGACTAATGTTCAGTGAACTCTCCAATGGAAAACCGTTCCGCTGGTAGGCAGAAAATATCTGTAAGGACTGTCTAAAAGTTTCACTCAAATCCATGAACATTGATTTTTGTTTCGTGGGAAAGACCTGCTATGGATCGTGCAAGCTGCAGACTCACTGTTTTAGCACAAGCCACAGAGAATAGGTACACGAAAGGAAAAGTAGAATCAACTCAAATCAAACTAGACAAAAAAAACGGCGTGTATTCCAAGTGTGGGAAAGCTTTCCAGGCACAAATATGACTAGCTAACCACTCTCGTACTCACCGTCGAATATAGTCTGAGTCAAAATTGCATGCGAAAGACGAGAAAAACGCTAGTCCATACTATAGTATCACTACAGTTGCACTTACCACATATTACTACACATGCTCATACCATATATAGTATTACTACACTTGCCCATAGCATATTATTACTTAGCACTGGCAGTCAAACAATGAATTAAATGTCTTCAAGAGTGATGGCAGAACGCCAATGTTATTGAGTGCCATCCGAAGACATGGCATTTGTGAACGAATTCAAGAGTGATGGCAGATGTTTTAATGTTATTGAGTGCCATCCGAAGACATGGCATTTGTGAACGAATTCAAGAGTGATGGCAGATGGTTTAATGTTATTGAGTGCCATCCGAAGACATGGCATTTGTGAACGACCTTAAAGGAAAGTCTGCTGCTCTATGACAATATGTCAGATAATCAATGGTAGACTATTGTATGGACTTTACTTTCTGTCACACATATATTACATTATATATGTTACATAAATACACGACATAACATATAACGTTGGTAAAGCACGAATCTAATTATACCTTAATATCTATATCTATATCTATATCTATATCTATATCTATATCTATATATATATATATATATATATATATATATATATATAAATATATATATGTCTGTCTGTGTGTGTCTGCATGTGTATGTCTGTGTGTGTGTGTGTGTGTGTCTGTATTTGTGTGTGTGTGTGTGTGTCTCTTTGTCTCTGTCTGTGTGTGTGTGTGTGTGTGTGTGTGTGTGTAATATATTACATAAATAAACAAAATACAATATAAAGTTTGTAAAGAACGAATCTAATTATATCTTATTATATATATATATATCTATATATATATATATATATATATATATATATATATATATATATATATATATATATATATATATAAATGTATATATGTCTGTCTGTGTGTGTCTGCATGTGTACGTCTGTGTATGTGTGTGTATGTGTCTGTATTTGTGTGTCTGTGTATGTGCCTCTTTGTCTCTGTCTTTGTGTGTGTGTATGTGTGTCTGTGTGTGTCTGTGAGTGTGATTGTGTGTCTGTGAGTATGTATGTGTCTCTCTGTGACTCTCGCTGCGTCTTTCACTGTGTGTCTGTCTGTATATGTGTGTGTGTGTATGTATGTATGTCCCGTATGCGCAACTACACCATTCATGCACTTGCCATACAACTGTGGTGAGTTGTTGTCCATAAGCCCGCGCCATTGTTCCAAGTCATTACAAATCTTTTAAAATATTTTTGTTTTGGGCCGCTGGCCCTAAATTCGTTTTTCTGTTGCTCTATGAGCTTTGTAAAAATATTTGCCGTATCTGTGCTTCTCTACCATCTCTGCGATTGTGATCAAACTTTAGTGAGTTGTGCGCACGCTCGCAAAGGTTTTTTTTCAATTATTACAACCATTTGAAAATATTCCGTTTTAAGTTTAAGCCAGGGGCCCTAAATTCGTCTTTTCTTAATTGAGCTATATAAACATCAAGGGTATGCGCTCCTATACCTTTCATCCGTTTGCAATAAAACTGGTGAGTTCTGATCACGCCCGAAAAGTTTTCTGAATTCTAAAAACCATTTTTTTTTAAATTCCATTTTGAGCCAGGGGCCCTAAATTCGTTTTTTTTTATTTGAGCTTTATAAATATAATTTTCAACATAGCTAATGCATGGGTGGATACAATTTTAATCAAATACAAATAGCGACATTAAATCTTATCTGTGACGAAATAAGTAGGTCTCTGAAGTCATTCGTTTTTACCCCTTATATTAGCTGTATAAATACAATGTCCGTTGTATTCCTGTACCACTCATCCGATTGCGGTCAAACTTGGGTGAATTGATAAGCGCCCGTCCCAAAAGGTTCCTACCTACATCAGTACAACCATCTTAAGACACTCCGTTTCAGGCCGGCGGCACTTACTTCGTCATTTCTTATATCAGCTCTATAAATATCATTTCAAAAAGAACTAATGCGTTGTTGGATGGAGTTTTAATAAAATACAAATAGCGACATTTCACTTGGTTTGTAACATAATAAGTAGGTTTATGAATTGGTAGAACCATTTTGCAATAGTACGTTTTTTTGTTGTATTATTAGAGCAATTATAATATAATTTTAAACAAAGCTAATGCATGAGTGGATGGAATTTGATCAAATACAAACGGCGATATGTCCTTTTGTGTGTGACATCATTTAGTAGAGTTCTGAATTTGTACAACCATTTTGCAATATTCAGTTTTGGATCGGGGACACTAAACTCTTTTTTTTTCCTCCTGATTTGAGCTTTTTAAATATAAATTTCATATACGTTCCTATACCATTCATCCGATTACGAACAAACTTTGGAGAGTCGTTGTGTGCACGCCCTCAAAAGGTTTCTGAATAAGTACAACCATTACAATATTCCGTCTGGGGCCGAGGGCCCTGAATTCGTTTTTTTTTTTTCTTATGTACGATATGTAAATATAATTTAAAACAGAGCTATTGCATGGGTTGATGGAATTGAATTAAATACAAACTGCGACATTTCAGTTCGTATGTGACATAATAAGTAGGTTTATGAATTAGTACATACATTTACAATATTCCGTTTGGGGGGTCCTAAATGTATTTAT